TCTTTCATTGACTCTGTCTCTCTCTATTCGTCTCTATCTCTATATCTCACTCTCTCTCTCTCTCTCTCTCTCTCTCTCTCTCTCTCTCTCTCTCTCTGTGTCTCTGTCTCTGCCTGAAAAACAAAGTCCAATTATCGATTATTATAAATGAGTTGCTGGAAAAAATGATAAATTCGTCGCATTTAGAAATCACTGTGGTGATTCAGACGAACGAACGGTCATGGAGTTTAGGATATTAAAAAAAAAAAACATTAAATTTAAAAAAAAGTGAAAATTTTATGCAAACATTTTTTTTTTTTAAATATATATTTATCAATAAATTCATAAATCGATTAGTCGTATTTATGCTGTTTTATCGGCTTACACTTTGATCACACGTACGTTGGGGACGTTTCCACGTCGCGCGTTGCCACGCCTTACATTTCCACGCCTTGCGTTTCCACGTCTATACAGAATGTTCTGAGGCCTGTTCGCGTTGTTGTTGTTGTTGTTGTTGTTGTTGGCATTGTTGTTGGCGTTGTTGTTGGCGTTGTTATTTCTGCGAATGCGTCGCACATTTGTATACCTCAGATTCCTGATGAACACAGTTCGCGCTCCGTTGCGATTTCCAGTTCCAGTTCCAGTTCCGGTCGAGGCCAGAGTTGTTGTTGTCGCCGCTGTTGTTGTTGACGCCGTTGTTGATGCACAGTCAGCATGGTTGGCATTAGCTGGCAGTGCGCAATTGGTGCAACCGGCGGGTACATCAGGATCAAGGGATGTACAGGCCACCGCCTCGCTGCGCCGCACAACGAAACAAGCCAAAATGGCGAAGCTCAGGACAAATGTAGCCGCACGCATCTCAAGAGATTGTTAACAATGCAAGATCGTTGTTGAATTTTATACAATTTCAAGTGGATATGTCGCTCTTATATAGCAAAACCATCGGCCACATATTTGCAAATTTGCGCAGATGTTTTCCTATTCTTGGGGGTGAATGTCAATTTCACACAAATATTATCATTCAATGAACAAGCTCACCTTCGATTATTTCATTAATGAAGAAATACCAAAATTTAAAGTACATACAAATTAAATTTGTTTGCCTTGAATACATRAAAATAAATAAATTGAATTTAAGAGTTCATTTTCGTTATTTTAATCATTTTATTCATAATAATTGATTTAAGCATTATTTTGTAACCTTTTTATACTCATTCCCGAAAGTGAATGAATAGTATATTGGCTTTGTGCGATCTTCTTTCCGATTGTTTTTCCGTCCATCAATTTCAGCTTCAAGTGTTGTTAAATACTTAAAAGTCTCAAAAGTCTCATTTGGGCTAAATAAACTTTTTATTTTTATTTTTTTCACGTCTTGTCTTGTTTATCAATATCAAAGTTAAAGTGGAATACAAATCTTTTGTTTCAGCCCGTGTTTTCTCTGGAGTCGACGGGCATTGAAATTTACCTTAGGAATTTGCTAACAACTGTGCAAATACTGCAATCAAGGCTTTAAGATCATGCCAACTTCAATTAATGATTTGAAATAGAATATTTTTCATGCGTCATATTCGAATCGAGGCGGGCAGCATAAGATAACTTTTTATAGAATTTACTAGAATTGTATTTCATCTAGAGCATAATAGGTAGGACAATATAATTAATAATATTAAAGGTATCAAGTATCTGATTTATTGCTTACCTTATATTAATATGTATATCATTTAAAGTGTACAGTAATATTACTTTAAGATTGTTGAATTTTTTTTTTTTTGAAATATGATCTACATCAAACTCAAATATTTAGCCATCAAAGTATTTAGATCCGACCCACTTTAATATAAATGAGACACATATAATTTACAAGAAATTTAGAGACCTTTTTGATATATTTAATATATACTAGAAATTCTCTAGTCTTTCTTTTCGCCAATATTTATAATAAACACACTAACTGAAGCTTTTGGGAGCTACATGAAATTTGTATAATTAAATACGCAACTTGTAGATACTATTATAAAACAAAATATATATTAGATAATGAAGTAATGCCAAAGAAATTAAAAACTCGCGCCTGATGTTAGACCACAATAAATTCTATACATTTCAGCCTCACGTTTCATAGCAGTCAGCTTTCGGCTGACATCCAATATGCTTAGGTCTATACATTAATGTGGAAATGCTACCGATATCAGAAACTATTTATGTTTCATTTAAAAATGAGAAAGAAGGAAAAGAACAATTATATAAATCATAATATATAGTACAGAACAAAAATCACTTACTTAGCCTCGTAACAGGCCTTACTTTCATTCTTAAACAGAGTAGATAAAAACTGACAAATCAGTTGTCTGCTAATTTCTATCATTTCTCTATGCGTAAGTGTTAATCTTGTTTAAATAATTCGTCATTTAAATCAGTAATGAGTGCATATATACGTCGGGGAAGTGGATTTTCTCTTGGTGCTACTATTATTTAAAATAAATAAATTCTTTGGAAAATTATCAAACTTAAAACAAATAATTTAGTTCTTACCTGCTTGTGCCCCTTTGCTTACCTACCTGCATTTAGGAATACACTATCGCGTCCTGCTACTTATTTTGTCTACGATCTTGCATTGGCAAATAACCAAAAAAAACGAACATATTGAAATACAGGCAGAAGAGGTCTGAAGATAGATTCCTATACCTATCTTTGCTGATAAGGTATTCGAGTTGCTTACACGACATTTTAACACAGTTTTCTGGGAAATTGTCTTGGTATATTTATCATGCTGTAGTTACATAGGCAATTGAAATGAAAAAAAAGATGAGAAGCCCATTAAAATCAGATTCGCAATTAGCCGATCAGATAGTATAGAAAGCAAAATCGAAATTTGAATAGTGTTCTTTAGCAAATTATACTATATTTAATTGTTTCTATTGTCTACATAAACTCGTTGGCTCACAATACAAAAAGAAGTCTATAGAAATCTATACTTCTATTAAATATAGTTAAATTATGATAATTTCAATGTAGAACAAAAACCGGCATTAAATCTGACAATATTTAAATCTTAATATTTATTCAGTTTTACAGTTTTTACTGCAGTGAATTACGTCTGTGAACTTGTTTGTATCTTTCGTAAAAAACGTCATCCCCTTGGCCTTCAAGATGTGCAAATATTTTAAGTATTCAAACTCAACTTTAGGCCGAGACAGCTAGCCGGCTTTTAATACGAACCGGTTCGGGATATAAACAATAATAATTAACTTAAAACTTAGATTTCTGCTTACAATATTTCAAACTTGTCTAATTAAACGCAAATAAAAATGGTATTAAGACCAAAAAAAAATATATAACGAAATGTTTTGATCATTGAACATGCAAATGGAGATTCAGAAAAGTAGAGTACCCTGCGGCATTCGAGAGGCACGTCTCTGCCATACCCTGAGCTCTGTGCCCTTCTCTTGAAAATTAATTACTTTTATTACAGAGAATCTAACTGATTTAGTTTCGAGTTGATTAAGCTCTGCTCATCTGTCTGTCTGACCTATTGAGATTCAATTTGGGTCCAAAGCGTTGACTCTATCTGCCTGCTTAAAAAAAAACATTATATACCGTAATACGCTGAGAATATATTGAGGATAAAACCATGGTTTTTTGTATCCTGAAACTTTATAAGTGTATGTCACAGGCAGGCGAATTGATTTAGCCCAGTTTGTCTGTCTGTACACCCGCCCGTCCGTATGTATGAACGCGTCAATCCCAGAAGCTATAAGAGTTACCGGCAAGACTTTTGATTTTTATTATTGAATGCCGGCCTGAAATGCTCAACCTTCCCACCACAAAGTTTTCAACTATTGGAGCCCATGGATGTACGTGTGTGTGTGTGTATGTGCTCCTTCTTGCGTATGCAGAATGAAGACGATGAATAGAAGAAGTTCTTCTCATAGCCACTTTTACTTGGCTTCAAATATTTATGTATGGCATAATTAAACATCCAATGAACTTCGATACTCTAGTTTTGCTTTTACTCTGTATTTATTGCAACGCTGATATATGATCAAATTGATTATGGCTCACGTACAGAGTCAGAGTACAGAGATAGAGCCAAGCAACTTAGGCACTGTGCTTCCTGACAACTTGGCCATCAGGGCAATTAAAGGTCACTTCGATTCCGTTCTCGAGCCAGGGCTGGGACCAGATCTGCACATTGCACACCTTCGTCTTGCTGCCCTCAATCAGCTCCACATCGTAAACGTATCTGTAGCCCGCAACAACTTGGCGCGTTACCTTGATGATTTTGCCCAATCTAAGCAGATATCCATTAATTTTTACAAATTTGGCAAGCTAATAGTGCCTGAACACTTACTTATAGTTGGGTCCATCGCCGCTTGCCAATTTGGACAGGGAATTGTTGAGAGCGTCTTCAGCCTCCTTCAGATCTGCGCCAGAGAGCTCAGTTACCCCGCCAGGAATCTATAGAAATGCATTTATATATTTATATATTTTTCCAAACACCTAATATTATTAACTTACGGTAGCCGAAACAATTGTCAAGGCCAAGCCGAGAATAAAAATGATTTTCATTGTGAGCATTCTTTTTTTATACCCTGAACCCATTGAAAATGGGAAATCAGGGTATAATGGTTTTGTTAAAAGTATGTAACAGGCAGAAGGAGGCGTGGCAGACCCCACAAAGTATATATATTCTTGATCAGGGCGACGAGCTGAGTCGATTTGGCCCTGTCCGTCTGTCTGTCCGTCCGTCCGTCCGTCCGTCCGTCCGTCCGTCCGTCCGTCCGTCCGTCCGTATGTATGAACGCGTCGATTTCAGAAGATATAAGAGCTAGAGACTTCAAATTTTTTTTAAAATGTCCGTAATTACAGCGCGCATATCAAGTTTATCATTAAAAATCGATAACTCATCCCGATCTTTTTTTATCGATAAAAAACCTTATCGAAAACCAGTTATAAAATTATATCTTCTACACCTTTATTGCTAGAGTCTCCAAATTTTTAATGTATGCTTATATGCAATTTATACAATTTCGGTTTTTGTTAAAATTTACCCCCCACCCTTAAATTCACCCCCTCACCCTCACTTTTGTAAAAAGCGTATTTCAAATACTAGAGACTTGTGCTTTGGCAATTACATGCATATCCATGNAAATATATACATTCAAGTATATACAAATGGCTGTACATTCATATATTTAAAATAAATTTTTTGTTAATTAAGTAAGAGAATAATCAGTTGAACTTAAAGCCAAACAAATAATTAAATCATTTATAATCAATTAGCAAAGAGTATATATGTATATATATATTCTATATATAAATATTTATATTCTGTTCTATATGGTATATGGTTTCCACATATAAGCCACTCTGCCAAGTACCTCAGTTATGTAATGTTATGTCAAGTGTTAATAGAATAGAATATAGTAAAAACTTTGGGACTGAGGCTCTAACACTGTGAGCGATATATAACCTATATATTCATGATTATGTATAGCCACTTGTAATAGTGGCTTTGCTGGGATATACGATCTAGTATTTGCCGATCTTCCACCCGTCGTCTATGGCACTTTATAAGGCAAGGGTATTAGCCTATCTAGCGTTAATGAAGGCGATCGGTAGTACACTTGCATATATCAAATGGTTCCAGTTTATTCATTTGAACCCCACAACCTGAGAATTCCCCTTAGCAAAATGGTCTTACTTTACTTTTACTCTTTCTTTATTGTCATTAACAAATCGATCATGGCTCTCGTACAGAGTCAGAGTACAGAGACAGAGAATCAGCTTAGATGCCGTGCCTCTTGACCACTTGTCCGTCGGGGCAGTTAAAAGTGACCTCGATTCCGTTCTCGAGCCAGGGCTGGGACCAGATCTTCACATTGCACACCTTCGTCTGGCTGCCCTCAATCAATTCGACATCGTAGACGTATTTGGTGCCCGAAACAACTTGACGAGTGGCCTTGATGATTTTGCCCAACCTAATATATATTTAATAATTTAATAACTATATCTAAGTCACTATAATTACTATAATAAATGCGTCAATACTTACTTGTAGTTGGGTCCATCGCCGCTTGCCAATTTGGACAACGAATCGTTTAGGATTTGTTCGGCTTCCTTCAGATCATCACCTGAGAGCTCCTTTATGCCGCCGCCAATCTATAAGAAAGAGTTATACATACATATATGATTATGATTAGAATGAAATACATATATCACTATATAGGATGGTCTAAATTATTGACTTACGCCAGCCGAAACAATTGTCACGGCGAAGCCGAGAACAAAAATTATTTTCATTGAGAGCATTTTAATTTCTTATATTTTCAAAATTTCTGCCGGCCTATGCGATGCACGATTCCAGACTGAATTCTATATGCTAAGCCGAGCCGGCTTTTATAGCCGATCTCTAATTGTTGCGTATGAGCAGAGTACATTCATATGTGTGTGAGTAGACAGAGAGCACAGAATAAGTGAAATTATAGTATATTGAAAATAAAAAGCAAATCTGGCATGTTTTATTTGTCTAATTGATTATTCGTTTGCATATGGATGAGAATTTAAATTAAGAAAGTTCAAGATTATAATTAAAAAATAAAATTTAAAGACACAGATGTTTAACAAAAAAACAATCTATCTGACCTATAGACCTTTAATTTAGGTCCTAGAAGGGGACTTCTTATATAGCACACTCCATCTGCCCTTATCTATCTCCTTATACCCTGTAATCCATTCAGTATATATACACAGGATACAACAAGCCATATGTTGACTAATTTCGATCTATTTCTGTATGGTAATATATTATATGTACCTAATGAACTCATTACTCCCTTCTTCAAAAACAAAAGACTCCAGTTAAATTTACTCTTTATTTATTGCAAAACTGATATTTGATCTGATTGATTATGGTTAAGATATAGAGGTATAGAAGTATAACGTATATTGTCAATGCTCAGGCACTGTGCCTCTTCACAACTTTTCCGTCAGGGCAGTTAAAGGTCACTTCGATTCCGTTCTCGAGCCAGGGCTGGGACACGATCACCACATTGCACACCTTCGTCTTGCTGCCCTCAACTAGCTCCACATCGTAGACGTATTTGTTGCCCGCAACAATTTGACGAGTGGCCTTGATGATTTTGCCCAATCTGAGCAAATATTTAAATAATTTAATAAAAATATCCAAGTCACTAAATTATAGTCCTTCAATACTTACTTATAGTTGGGTCCATCGCCGCTTGCCAACTTGGACAGCGATTTGTTCAGGGTAACTTCGGCTTCCTTCAGATCATCGCCAGAGAGCTCAGTTATGCCGCCAACAATCTTTAAGAATTCAATATTAATTAATTATTGAATATATAAAAACTATATACTTACGTCAGCCGAAACAAATGTCAAGGCCAAGCCGAAAACAAAAATGATTTTCATTGAGAGCATTTTAATTATTTTTCGAATTTTCTGGCGAGCGATGCAAAGAACGAATCCAGACTGAATGTTAGACGCTAAGTCGAGTGGGTTTTTATAGCCGATCTCTAATTGTTTGGTGTGACAAAAGTACATATATATGTGTGAGTGTTTGCGGTGTGTGATCAAGGAGGTGAGACAACGACAGTGGGAACGAAACAAGAGAAATTATAGTATTTTGAAAATTAGAATAAAATCTGGTTTGTTTCACATGTCTACTTGCCTTATGTATGCAAATGTGTAAGAAATTAATTAATTAATTAATTATGGAAGATTATATTTAAATCTAAAATATTAGCATTGATCTGTAACAAAAGATTGAAAGAAAGAGCTCGAGCAAAGGATCAGAATCATACACTTATAAATAATAATCAAGACCTCGCTAAACCACATATATGTAGTTCGCCTTATACGTATTTTAAATATATATATTTTTTTAAGATTTTCTTAATCACATAATTTAAATGTGTTTCTGATTGAGATTTTACTAGCTCTGCTCATCAGTCTGTCAGCAGACGAAACCTACAAATCTTAAATTTCTGGTTTATAAAAGCTAACTTCTTCTATAGCACACTCCATCATTTCATTTTTTTATATGAATACGACATTCAGGATGCACCCAACCACAGGTTCACTAATCATACCCTGTACCCATTGAAAATGGGAAATCAGGGTATAATGGTTTTGTGAAAAGTATGTAACAGGCAAAAGGAATCATCGCAGACCCYATAAAGTATATATATTCTTGATCAGGACGACGAGCTGAGTCGATATAGCCCTGTCTGTCCGTCTGTCCATATGAGCAAAAGGATCTCAGGAGATCTAAGAG